GAAAAGTGAAATATAGTGACACACACGTCCATTTATATATATATATATATATAGATTATGGTTATTTATACATTTACAACTACAAATACACATTTTTCTGTTTTTTCCTTACTATAGTTTTTTTTTCAGTGCTTTAATTTGAGTGTGTTTTTCGTGTTGGAACGAATTATTTGGTTTTACATGTAATCGTATGGGGAAAATGATTCACCATACGACATTTTCATGATACGATCTGTTTCGGAACGGATTAATTTCGTATCCTGAGGTACCACTGTATATAGAAATTATAAGCTATATACATCAGTAGAATCATTTAAGAAAAGGCATTAACTAATGCTTGGCGCGAAATCACAAACGAAAACAAAAAATCTCATTAAAACAATGCCAGATAGAGTTTGCAAATAACTAATAAAAAAGGTGAACTTATTTTTTTATGGAAAATAAAATTATTTATTTTAATTTTGAAGTGGTTTTGTCATTTTGGTTCAAGTACAACTAACAAAACGTTGTTAAAATTCATACATGTTTTTTTTTATTGTTTTTGCTTCATATTATTATTAGGGGAGATCGGGGCAAGATCGGCATGTTAAGCTTTACTTAAATTTTGTGTAATAAATACTGCTGTAAACTGAAAAAAAAGCTTTGCATATTGTCTATTGGAATGTTACCTTACTATAGAACTGGTTAAAATCAGTTTGGAAATAAAAATAATTAAAATAATTACAACTTTACAAGAAGAGAGAAATTGACGAAGTTGCCCCGGGTATAGGGGCAAGATCGGCAACTTCTCTCTTTTTGTAAAGTTGTAATTATTTTAATTATTTTTATTAAAGTTGCCCCTGGTATAGGGGCAACAGTAATGGGGCAAGATAGGCACGTATATAAAATTATGTTATTAACAATGTATAAGTTGGAATTCACTATTAAAACAAAGAAATACAAATCCAACACCCATTTAATATTATTACAACGAAATGCAAGTTCAAAGACATATATACATGAATAACAAATGCAAACATGTTTTCATTTATCATCTGTTTGATTTTTATCCTTTGCTTCTAATGTGGCTTTATGTTGCCGATCTTACCCCGCTAGTCATGATTTCGAAACATTAAGTACAACCCTGAGAACAGAATGCCAAGCCACGATCTGGCCACGTGAATAAGTTGAAGTTACATCCTTCTAACAGGAAAAGTAACTTTCGTTATCATGGAATTATAACAAAACCTGCCAATTCAATATAAATGGAAAAAAAATATTATATGGAATTGAACGAAAATGAAAATTTGCTTGATAATTCAACTACGCTTGTTGGAGAACAATAAAAACACTACACTCAACAAGCCACCAATAAAACTCAACTGCCTAACCTATAACTAAAGTCTCCTTTTAATTTGTTTTTTAAAAAAAGCGCTTGACAAACTTGCCCCGCATGCCGAAGTTGCCCCGATCTCCCCTATATGATGTCATAATGACCCAATTGTAAAATTTACTTCTATTGTTCTGTAATCTGCTCGATATTTCTTTGTTATCCTGACAAGACCAATGTGGTGACAAAACGAATTTTGTAATTTTATTTATTGAATGAGTTATTTGAATTCAAAATTTGCCATGCAAATCCTATGGTCAGATCTTTGAGTGCAAGTTAGTCCCACGCTACGTGTCAATGGAGTTTGCGATTGCTGTCAAATTACATCGATCAATTCTACAATTCTTCACGATGGGAGTGTAACATGTGCAAAAATTCGACTTTTGAAAACAGGCACACATCTGTTCTACGTTCTCAAATTTGCGTGTTTTAACCAGTTTCTAAATTTACTTGTAGGCCGCTGGTTGTAATTTGAAAGTATATTCAACTTTCTTTCTGATATGAAGTTGGACATTCACGTCTTCCCTCTAACTAGCAGGTTTTCAAGTGCTTTACAAAACTTAGTACTGAATTGTATTGATTTACATTTATAATGATGGCTCTTCCATTTAAAATTTGATCTTAATATAAATACGTCTATTGATGTTAGTATTACATAATCGAAAAGTTTGTATTCATAATTTTTAGGAAATAAATTCATAACAGCGATTTATTCCTAGAATTGAATTATTATATGTTATAATTAAACATTCATCATGTATAAACCTTGCAGAAATCAATCCGAAAAATGAAAACTGCTGAACATCAGTAATTCCATTCTAAAATTTTTCACTCAGATAATTACTTAATAAATAATTCTTACCTCATTACTTTTGTTTCTGTCTTCAATTTTATCATTCATATCACATTGAAAACTTTCAATTTTATCATCACCATCATCATGAAAAACCGCACTCTCTAAATCAATGCTATTTTCAGAAACTTCTTTCTTTGGTAATATTCCTGTATGCATTTCTAAATTTTCCAATTGTTTAAAATTTCCAATAGATTCACATTTTCCCTGAAATGTATTTATCGTGTACATAAATACAATTACTTCTATGCTTTGAAATATAAAAATATTATATACCTAAAAATGTGCACCAATTGAATCCCGAAATGTCATTATTAAGCAGCTTACCAATTTTTACTGAATTTATCGGTTACAATTACCGCGATTGCGGCCGACGTTTTCCTCTCTAAAATAACATGAACGTGAATGTCGATCTTGTAAGCGATGCTCGACGTTCGACGTCACGTCCTAGAGTGGAAAACTTCGGCCACAACTTCGCAATAATTTTATTAGTGGTATGTTCTGGTTTTAAACTGGTAATGCAATTCCTATATTTATGCAGTTCCTATAATTCAATTTCTTTTTATATACTTCTGTGCATAGAAAGAAAGACAATGTAACTGTTTTCAAACTCACAACTGTACAGTGGATATAAACCAGTAAATACTAGTCTTTGCCCAGGATTTTTACTTCACCCACAGACTGGCTGAATGCAGTTTTTCACAAATTTTCAACACGTTTCTATACTGAAATAACTGTCATTCTCCCGAAAACAGCCCTCCCGAAAATATTTTTTCGGCATATAGTCAATAAATAGATTAAGAATGTCGTTATTACCGTAAAGACTAATTTACAAAACAAAACTAATAAACAATTAACGTATTCACCTTTTTTAACGCTAAAATTTTACACGCAGAGTTTAAAAATTGTATTTGATGCGTAACTAGAATGCATATCTTGTCTTTCAAATATTCCATTATACACCTGAAATAAATTGAAAGTTAAAATGTATCGAAATGTTCAAAAAGTATATTTTAAATAATTACTTTTCGAAGATATGTTTTGCCACTGGAACATCAACAGCACTCAGTGGATCATCCAGGAGGAAAATATCGGCATCCACATATAGCGCTCTGGAAAATATAAAAATGTATCACCATCAATAAATAAATAAAACCATTCTTTGTTATATCTTTTAATAGTGTTTTGCGTGTTTTATATTACGAAGTAGAAGAGAAAGCGTCAAATAAAGTATAGAACATTAGCACACGATGTTCCTACTATCAAGTCACGAAATAACCAAAATAAGTGGTTTATCTGATAAGAGATAAATATTTTATTTGTTTTATTTTGAACAAATACACCACGAAGAATTTAGAAAATATCACTGAGAAGTGAAACGATATAGGATTCAGATGAAACTTTTTATCAGGATGTTATAACTATAATCAAAACTAGTATACTTATAAACAATATATGAGTTTGATCAAAATGTATTTATTATTTCTGTATATTTGTCTTATTTCTATTAAAATTGTACTTTTATATTTGCAAACATCGAAATATTATTTTACGTAAGATTTGTCTAACCTTGCTAAATTAATTCTTGCTTTCTGCCCACCGCTCATTATCACTCCTTTCTCTCCTACGATTGTCTTATCTCCTTTAGGAAATAAGCTAATATCCTAAAAATAGAAAAAATGAACATACAAGATAATATTGTTCAATATAATGTGCATTGACAACTTTACTAAAATTAAACATAACTATTGATTTTTAAACGTATTTGACTTATGAACGGTGTTTTGATAGTTAAATTTGTGTCTTTTGTATTCAAATCATTATTTGGGCTAATAATATTTAATTTTATGTCATGCCTCCTATAACCGCTTTTTATTAAAGTCCAATACTACAAAATCAACTTTTTTATTTATCTTTTTTTATTAAAAAAACTTTTATTAGTGTTGGACAAACCACTTTTCGTCTAGAAACGAAGTATAGATTCCAAAGTATAGTTTATAAAAGTATAGCTTTTAAGAGTAAAAATCATCTTACCTTTTCTAGTGCCGTTATATGCAAGATTTTTCTATATTTGTCTTCTTGATATTCTTCTCCAAACAAGATGTTTTCTCTGATAGTTGCGTTGAACACCCAAGCTTCTTGAGAAGCATATGAAATCTTTCCTTTCACGGACACTTCACCAGAAGTAATTGGAATCTCTCCCAAAACGGACATTAGTAAAGACGTCTATCGAGATTAATGTCGCTTTATTGTTGGTAACGACATGTTTTACGTAAATAATATAAGTACATAAACATTTTAAAAGTATTTACGTATTTGTGTAAAAATATTATTTCAATTATTAATTGTTTTCTTTTAAAACGCATGTAGTGTAAAGAGGTGACACAACATAATCTATGAATTCCTAACAGAAACTGTAACAGCACATTCATGAATCTCTAAGATTTTATCTGCAAACAAACTTTCATAGAATACATCANAATATATAAATAACCAAGGTTACTAAGTTTATATTCCAGAAACTCTTGCTGACAATTGTTCGGAAAAGTATATCCGAATGGGCATAAAAAAAGTGTTGTTTCGATGTATGTGAGAGTTTCTGGAATACAAATTATTTCAGAATCCGTTAACCGGTTTTGGTATTATGCCAGAATCTGTTGTATTTTTGCCCGTGCTCGATGTCTTTCCCTCAGAGTGATGACAGACTTTGGAATGAATGTTATAAACTGTTAAACTTTAACAAAATTGTACCAGAGGCTGTCATACATATTCTACTAATAAATAGCATCCCTATACAGTGTGCAGTTCTTCTCCAACCCTGATGTCACATGAATAATATTTTATACTATTTGCAAGGACCCGCTTCGCTGGGTTTTTATTTGTTCGTACATTTGTATGTAATATAGTTTTTTATATATATATAAAAGACTGTTTTTCTAAGAAATCTAGAATCTAGCAGCAATAACCCACTTCGCTGGGCATAAAGTAACGATAGTGAAGATTAAGATAACTACATTATAGCTAATCTTACCCGTTTTCACAGAATGCAAGAATTAGGTCCCCCGTTTCCAGACTAATTAGATAATTTTTACGTCCATTCAAACGAACTATTTTCAATTTGATCCATTTTCTGGAACGTTTATAATCGTAACATAATCGAACCAATTCGAATTTAAAACGGTTCGAACATTTTTAAAATCGAAATAGAAAATCTTCAAAGTCAATCACTTTAAGCCCCCATATCTCCCGCACCTTTATAGCTATCGAGACGCAACCACCATAGTGCACGAATGGAGGAGACTTGGGGCTACTAATACATACAAACACCATTCATGTGCGATGTGCAGTTTTGGCGGAAAAGTGAAATATAGGGACACACACGTCCTATTATATATACGAGGGCTGTTCAAAAAGTATCGGACCTTTGCTCGGCAAAAATACATTTATTGATTTTGAGGTACAAAACCCTAATCCCCTTCAAAGTAGTCTCCTAAGTAGGGTATACACTTCTCCCAGCGTTCCTGCCATTGCTGTAAACACTGCTGTGACGCATCTTTTGGAATGGCCATCAGCCGGTCCGTCGCATTCCGCACGATGTCTTCTCTCGACTGAAATCGGGTTTCTTTTAGCGGCATTATCAGCTTGGGAAATAGCCAAAAGTCACACAAAGCCATGTGGGGAGAGTACGGAGCGTGACGAACCACAGGAGTGTTGCGTTTGGCGACGAAAGCCCGAATCAGATGTGCAGAATGGGCGGATACGTTATCGCGATGAAGGTGCCAAGTTTTGATCGACCACAGATCCAGTCGTTTGCGTCGCACAGCATCGAAAAGACGACGAAGGACTTCCTGGTAGTATTCCTTTGCGATGGTTTGGCCTTGTGGTGCGTACTCATTATACACCACCCCACGAGAGTCGAAATAACTGTCAACATGACCTTGATATTGCTGCGGATTTGCCGCGCTTTTCTCTGCCTCGAGGATCGTCCCCAAAAGCCTGCTGAAACTTGCGAATGGTTTACGCTTGAATATCGCCAAGGTTTTTGGCAAAATTTGATGTAATATCGCTACTTACGTTGTTCAGTCATTTTCCAACTTACAAGGGAACTGTCGGAGTGTCTTCTAATAAATTTTAATAAAATGTAGCTAATAGTTACGTTAAAAGTATGCAAACCCTATATTAAATTTGTAGTATTCACTAAAACAGTAAATCAGAGTTATTAGCAATCAAATGTCGAACTATTTTATAATAGTTTAACACGAATATGCAGATTCTTATAAGTGAATGGGTCGCGGAGGAAGACGGCAATATTACATTTATATATATATATATATAAATAGACATATATGTCCCTATATTTCACTTTTCCGCCAAAACTACACATCGCACGTGAATGGTGTTTGTATGTGGTAGTAGCCCCAAGTCTCCATTCGTGCATAGGTGTAGTTGCGTCTCAATAGTTATAAGGGTGCGGGAGATATGAGGCTAAAAGTGGTTTAAAGTGGCTTTCTATTTCGAATGTTTTGTTCTAATTTGTTCGAACAAACTCGAATTAAATTCGAACATAAAATTCGAATATTGGATCGATTATAAAACGATTGTAAACGTTCCATAAACGATGAAAATAGTTCGTTTGACTTCACCTGAACAGGATACGTTCAGAAATAGAATCGGGAATCTCTAATCATAAACGGCGGACCTAATTCTTGCATTCTGTGAAAACGGGTAAGATTGGCTATAATGTAATTATCTTAATCTTCACTATC